GGAGTGGAGGGGGGGGGGGTTGTCATCACTTAAGCCCGGTTACGGAAGCCCCCCCTCTGCCTGCTCTGCCCTGGCTTGTCTCGCTTGGCAAGTGGTGATGATGATGATGAGTCAGCCAAGCACATACATATGATGGACTCAACTGCCACCCAATCGATCCTAGTCAACATTCAACACCAACAACATCAACAACAGCAACAGACTGACTTACAACTACTCAATCGAAACAACAAACGAAAACACTCGTCATCAACTTCATCATCATCAGTAACAGCCAACGAGATCAAGAATGAAATCACAACCGATCAGATCAACTCATCCTCATTCGACCTACCACATCCAGACTCATCAGAACAACATCCAAACGAAATCAAGAAACTAACAACCGAGAAGAGGAAAGCACAGAATAGAGCGTAAGCACATACTCAACCATTCATCACAACAACAACAACAACAACAACATCTGACTTGTATTGAATTAATCAGCGCCCAGAGAAATTTCAGGGAGAGGAAGGAGAAACAGTGCAAGAAGAATGAAGAGAATCTGATCATCAGGACCGAGGAGAACAAGAAGATGAGAGAGCTAATCACCTCGTAAGCAAACTCAAGATCATCAACTGGCTGACTGACTAGCTGACTGAGAAATGAATTAACTTGAACAGGCTAGAAGCCGAGAACAACTTCCTACGTCAACACGTCCCAGAGAGTGTACTAGAGCAAGCCCGAAAGAGTTTCCCAAGCCGGCCTGAACTGAGTACGATCGTCATCCCGATCTCAGCCTACGATGAATTCCTCAGTCCAGAGCAGAAGAGTGCAAAGAGTCCTGTTGGAGCAGGCCCAGGAGGTGGGGGTGGGGGAGCAGGTGGATCAGGAGGAGGATCAGGAGGAGGAGGGCTGAGTAAGAAAGAAAAAATATATAAATGGAGAAAAGTATAATTTTCGCAACTGGGTTTCGCACCAAAGAAAGACATGTTCGAGGACATGGACAGAGGCTATTTCAAGGAGTCCGGTTAAGGAAAAGAGATAATATAAGCGGATGAAAAGTATAGGTTTCGAGTAAGGATGAGGGTTTCATTGCCAGGAAAGGGGGTTTGTTGAGGCCGGTTAAGGAATAATAAATAAAAATTATATAAAACGAGGAAAGGTATAATTTTGATAGTTCAGGATGACAACAAAAGCTAGTTCAAGTGAATCCAATTAAGGAAAAGAAACAATCTAAACGGATGAAAAGTATAGTTTCGGAGGAGGATTTCGGACCAGGAAAAGTCGTGGTCGAGCTGATAAAGAGAGCTCATGTCAAGGGCTGTAAACAGCAGAGGCTCCTAGATTTCAGATCTGCTAAGGTACCTCTCACAGACCGAAACTCTTGCCAAATTTTCCAATTTTAAGTGGATTATTTGGTTTGGATCTCCATACTGTTCTTAATCTTTACTTCGTTCTACCCCGCTCTTCTCTCACCCTCTCATTCCCCCCTACAATATATTCTACCTGGTTGTTAGTTATATATACATGGTTGTATTCTCTGTTGTCTATTTCTTAAATTCTTCTTCTTCTTCAAAAAAAAAGAAATTCATACAAGAAAATTAAACAATTAAAAAAACAAAAACAAAAAACTTTTCTGATCTCTCTCTCTTTTTCTTTCAAAACCAGATCAAGGTTGAATATGGGGGTTTTTGCTATTACTTGGAATATTGGGTGATTCTTACATATTAATTATTTCATGAAATGTGATCAAGAACTTTTGAATTATAAATCATGATTGGAAATCCAATTACCAACCAAATCACTTAGAAATTCAAATCAAATATCAAATCAGAGATTTTAGTTTCAAACAAACAAAAAAAAAGAAGTCCAGTGGCCTCCAGGAGTTCAAGGCTAAAAAATGGAGTTCACTCCCTCTCTTAGAGCCTTGCTTTTCTTATGAGATACAGCACCTAGCTGGGAAATTAAGAGAATGGGAGGAGAAAAAAAAATAGTATAGTCTGCATCGGACCTGCAGAGAACCCCCAGCAAGGCTCCCATTGGCACCAGCCCAACGGTCAGCCCGCCAGGACCCGGCCCGTGGTCAAACTTAGTCGGGCTAACTCGGGTCGGGCCTAGATTCACATTAGCCTGGCCCGCGCCGGCGGCCCAACTACCATCTACTCGCCACTCCACAAACCTCACCAGACCACACCCCAGTCATGGAACTAGTACATACAGGAATCTCTACAAGATCAGTTCACTTTACTCGGAATCAACACCGGCGATGACTTCTTTGGGCATGAAGAGAACGGTAAGCATGGCCACGCACTCACTCATCAACCCTGCATCTACCCAATTAGCATCTCACATTATATTCTATTACAGAAATCAAGAGAGATTTAGCTACTTTGCTTTGTCGAGTCGTTTCGACAAAACATGGTCATCTCACACTCCTTCCACCGGGCACCTGCAATCGAGAGAATGGATGGCCACTGTAAGAACGACTGCTTCGATCTCTGATCGATTTCATCCTCGCCGAGGAAGCTCGTCCCGATGAACAAATGTATCAGTTCATCAACAACAAATCCAACACCCCCTCAAGCCAGCCGTCATACGCACCGAACTCTACGAGGACCGGCGCTACATCCGGCCTCGTGAATTCCTCCAGCTGCCCTCACGACCGCTTCCCTATGTTACAAGGCGAATTGAAGAATTTAATGTACAAGGACCTTCCACTTTTGCTGGAACGTTTCATCCAGCATCATCACCCCGATTCCGTCTCGCTCCTGCCAGATTACATACATCGAACTTGACCCGCTCCTGCAACCCTACGAAAGTCGTATTCAAGAAACGTACATGGAAAAATTAAAAGACACTACGGAGGTTTCTGTGTTGAACTGAATCACACCGCTTCTAGAACATATCTCTGCCGATCTGGAAGGAACTGCGCGACACCCCTCTAGAGGGCGTTGAAGCAAAACGCAAGGTGGATTGCCCGATCATGTCCCAGTACACGTCAAGGACCAATATCATATCACAGATGTTCTGGTTCCGGCCAAGCTCAAGAGAAGGAAACCCTATGACATCAAAATGAGCCAACAGGGCTGGCTCACTCAGCGCGTAGTGCGCGTAGTGAGTCCCCAGGCAGTGACCACCTGCAGTTGTTGGACCCCTTCCAGCCGATCACCCTTGGTGTGTAGCTTGCCAAGACTGCCAGGGCACTGAAGCAGACTACCACAACATCAGAATGACGATAACCACTCACTCGAACCGGCTATATAAGCATCTATGGAATCCCAAATGGCTATCAACCTCATACTCCTCTCCTCATTGTACCATACACAAGCCAATCATCAACTGCAACTTGACTTTCAAAAGCCAGCTAACCATTACATCTGTTATTGTCATATCAGTAGACCAACATGCCATTCCAAAAGAACCAGTTGCTCACCGCCATCCTCCTCATCTCAACTGCATCCGCTCGCTCGATCGGTTCGTTAGAAGGTAGGGCAATTGACGGGCAGGTAAGCATCGACCTATCCTATCGACTGCATATATCTATCCAAACAAACAACCAAAACTGACCTTGCTCCGCCTTGGTTTTACTACAGAGAAACCTCCACCTCTTCGGGCGCGCGGAACCTCCTGTTGTTCCACCCAAACAAGACGGCGTTCAAACTGCACCCAACCCAAAATCACCCTCGCCTCCTCCGATCCGTCCAACGCCCGCCCCGAGCCCACCATCACCCGCGCCAGGAGGACCACCACCGCCTACCCCGAACCCACCATCAACCGCACCAGCAGGACCACCACCACCTACCCCGAACCCAGCCGCTAAACCTCCAACAAACGGACCCGAACCAAAGCTACCTCCAGGGAAAGAAGCCCAGGACCCGAAAAAGCCAGCACCCGGACCTGAGCCAAAATTACCACCACCAGGAAAAGAAGCTCAAGATCCGGAACTTGGTGCTGGCGCTGGGCCTGATGCTGGAAAGAACAAGCCACCAGCCGACGAGCCCACAAAACCTGCTAATCCAACACCCACGACTGAAGAACAGAGACATAAGAAGATAGAATCAGCTATTGCGAAATCTAAAAAGAGAGTCGAGACTTGGAAGATGAAGACCGAGAAAGAACAAGCTAAGATCGACCGACTGACTGCTAAGGTATACAAGCAAACCTCACTCATACTCTTTTTATTGCTCTGAGAACTTGTTGAAAACTAACAAATCGACCGAATTATATTTTTAACCACACGTAGCTTGCCGAGAAGTCAAAGAAGGCAGCTGATCCTAAACCAAAGGACCCTAAGCCTGCCGACCCTAAGACCGGCACCAGCAAGCCCGCCGACGGGAAGGCCCCAGCTGACAAGCCTACCGACGGAAAACCTGCAGCTGACAAGCCTGCCGACGGGAAACAAGCCGGTGACAAGCCTGTTGGTGACAAGCCTGTTGATGAGAAGCCTGTCGACGAAAAGCCTGTCGGTGACAAGCCTGCCGAGGGCAAACCTGCCGGTGACAAGCCCGCCGAAGGCAAGCCCGCCGAAGGCAAGCCTGCTGAGGATAAGCCCGCCGAGGGGAAGCCTGCCGAGGGCAAGCCCGCCGACGGCAACCCTGCCGCTGGAAAAGCCGGAGACAAGCCTGCTGATGGAACACCCGGAGACAAACCTGCCGACGGAAAACCTGTCAGTGAGAAGGCCATCAATGAGAAGCCCGCCGAGGGTAAGCCTGCCGATGGGAATGCTGCCGACGGAAAACCATCTGCCGGTGAGAAACCTGCCGACGAAAAACCCACCGGTGAAAAGCCCGCCGATGGGAAGTCTCCCGAAGCAAACCCACCTGCCGGTGAGAAGCCTGCCGACGAAAAACCGACAGGTGAGAAGCCCGCCGATGAGAAGCCTGCCGAAGGCAACCCACCTGCCAGCGAGAAGCCTGCCGACCAAAAAACGGCAGGTGACAAGCCTGCCGACGTGAACCCCGCCGGTGAGACACCCGCGGACGCCGGGGCCGGAAGCGCCACAGGACAGGCTTAACTGGCCAACGACCACTCTGCCTAATCAGATTGCCCTTGGTTTCAACCTCCCCCCACGCGCACTGGCTTCGACTTCTGATCTCTATCTCTTCCCTTCCTCTCAATCCTAGACACTACCTTTTTCGCGCGTTCTTGTACCCGTCGTTCTTGCTCCTGACCATTCACATTATCGTCGTCTTGTTTTATTCTACATATTCCATTCTATGAAAAGCCCTTTGATAGGCCATCTCCCATCATCATGTATCGACAGACAAACATAAGTATCTGTATAAGTATCTCTTAACAAGTCCCTGTGTTCTATGAATTCGAGCTCTTGTGTCTGTGTTTTCTAGACATTCTCTATTCTGTGTTTGCTGATGTTGAAATGTATGATCATCGTCCTCGTTCCCTTACAACAAAACAGCTCTTTTCTTGTACATACTGCGCGAAGCTCGTCGATTGAATTTCAATTGGACTCAACACATTCATGCTAATAACGAGTGTTGCTTATAACGAGGTTTCATTCTTCAGCATATGTATCGTGGTCTCTGTTTACATACGCACCCGGACCTCAAATGTTCATGTTGTTCCTGTTGGGGCAAAGCTAAACGGAACACGGATGGACCAGGATGGGTTTATGAAAGGTAACTTTTTCAAGCTCCCATGAAGGTGGTCATATCAGTCCTGTTGCCCCATCCCCTGCCATTGACATGGTAATCATGAGGCTCAAAGAGGATTTTAAGCGCTTGAGACCCACGAACGCAATCATCACAGGGGCACAAGCCTCTCGTTTGATAGAGCAAGTCCAGACCCGCCGTGGAAGTATAAGGTCTCTCTGGATGTCCAGTTTGGGGTAGATGATGATCAGCTTTCTGTTTTTTTTTGCGACGGAGGAAAGGGTGGTTCCTTGACATTACCACCAGGGTTGACTCTTTTTTTTCTTCTACACATTCAAGCAAGTCATCGATTTACACAGTCAACCAAGCACTGTGCCCAGCTGGGTGCACTCAGCTCGATCGGTGTTGGGGAAATCCATGGAATTCCCAGATAACATTGGAATGTTGAACTGTGATATAGAGAATGTGATCAGCTTGACATAATAATTTAGAAAATAATAATTAATCTTATGTACGGATGGAAGTGCCATCAACAAGAAATTCAAGAAACACGCAGTCCTTCAAGCTCTAACATCACGAACTTGCAAGGGGGTTGTTGTCGGTTGAACATACCTCAGATTCTGTAGTCCCAGGGAGACACATTTTCAAGCCTCCAGCGCAAGCTTCCTCAAGTCTCCTGTGCAGGAATCGCGTCGCCATGGCCCATTCAAGGTCCCGTCCCCGTCTGCCTCTGTCCTCTGCCCTCTCTGGCTTGCAGGCAGGTCCTCCTGCCGTGGAGCTGGAGCCAGGCTCGACATCGGATGTATGCACCATCTCCGAAGCGAGGGAGCTCGAGGGACTGTTGCGACAAGGTTCGGGCCTTGTCATGCAAGCTCTGAGTTTTTGTGCAGGGCTCTTTATAGTGGGCTGTCGACCAGACCTGCGCGGCTGGTCATTAAATGACAAGTATTATTTCGATTGGCTTCCTCGGCTCGGTCCTTCATACATAAGCAACATGCTCGAATCGTATTTCCTAACATCCGAGGTACCTTCAATCATATTTACAGCCCCTCTCTCAATCTTTTTTTGGAATTTTGTCATCCGACTTACCCCACCACCCCCTTACCTTTATACCTTCGTTACCCTTCAGTCTTTTGCTTTTTTTTTTTTAAAAAAAATACCTCCACTCGGCCTCTGCTCAATCGCGTCGCCGTGTCTATCATACCCTTCACCAGGATTTCACTCAAGTTCACACCAACCTAAACAAACAAACAAATAAACAACTCAATCAGCATGAACCCGTATCAGGTCTATCTGTTCCTATCGCTGGCCCTCTATCCAGGCGCCTTCTCCCTCCTAACTGGATTTGATCCCAAGAACTTACCCTACCAGAGTGACGGTGCCGCCGGCCAAACGGGATACAACCAATGCGGAAACAAAGCTGATAAGAACAGTCAATGCCAGTAAGCCGGACCATTCTAGCGCATCTTTGAATTCTGACCTCTCCAAGCTGACCTTGACATTCAGGAACCTATACATCAACTCCGCCGAGGATTTTTGCGTGTTTGCGCGTGAGTGTAGATGGTATGCGTGCCTCATGTCTCTCCAAAAAAAACTTATGCTCTTGATTTGCATTTCTTTCCTTGTCTGATTCGCTTAGCTCCCAGAGTTCTACCCGTCGGTGAGGCAGAGCGGATTGCTGTTGCCTACTGCTCCAAATACGGCCATGGAACTCGTTTGATCCCACCCGGAACCTTCAAAACTCTGCATTATGTGTGAGCAAGCTCCTCTGATTGCCACAACACCCTCCGCTATGGCACACCCGTTTGCTCACCAAGTAATTGTCTCAGTCGCACGCCCCATTACATCCAAATTACCTCCATTGGTGACGTGAGTTCATGGCCGTCTTTGTTGTTCGGATCTTGACCTTCTCAACTGAGTCCCCTGTCTTTCGGCTGTTTGGACGAACTTTCCATTTCAGTTCACCAAGCTTAACGTCCCAGCAAATGACGAGGGCGGTGAATTAGGTCGGTCTCCTCAACCTCCCAATCTTGCTCTTGAGACTTGGGGGAGAAATAGCTGACAATCTTCCTTCATCAAACTTTAGATCCTTCCGGGTAAGAACGTCATCATCCACTGTCAACAATAAATCACTTTCTCTGGCCTGAATCATCTACCATTTCACAGTCCTGACGGCCATGGTAACCCGGTCGGTGGATTGGTCTTTGGCGAACGAGGTCAATTCAATCACTGGACGGAGTTCCTTTCCTACAATGAGCTCTCCATCCGAGCCTGTTTCAATACCGACCAAGCTTACAGGTACTGTGAACATATCTGTAAGTTCAGCACCGTCAGTTTCCAAGTGGCATAGGGACTTGAACATTGAAGTTTCCTTCTGGACTAGATGACTTGGAGGGAAGTCGTTGGAACATGCCTGGAGAGTACGATACTCCTGGATTCGACCAGTGTGAGGGAGAGGATGTTCCTCTTCCTATGGGTGAATGTAAGTACCTTTTTTGACTTTGTGATGGGTTCTGTCAGGATATTAAGACACAGTCGTGTGTGCCATCTTTAAATCCAGACCGCCGACCCGACGGCTCGATCTACAAATGGAAGCGAGGCAGCTCCCCCATGCCGCCACCCGGTGCCCCTGGAAAGATCAAAACCTGCAAGAAGTAAGTGGTCCGGGAGTGACGGGCAGCGACAAAATGCTGTTGTTCTAAATCTTATGTATCCTCTTTTGTCTCTCTTTGCTAGGGTCCGAGCCCCCGGCTTGAACTACCCCCGTTCCACCAGACGTTGATTTCCTCAGAGATGGAATGTCGGTTGAAGCAAGCAAGGAAGAAACTCTTAATCCGTGGATCCTCCAACTTTCAGCATGAGACATGAAGTTCATTCACGGTTTTTTTCATTCATTCATGGCTGCTGTTATTTATTTATTTTTTTAGTCATCTGTTGTGTCGAAGTTAAGCCCTTTTCCCCCTCCCTGGTCCGTAATCCTTGATGTCATAATTTTTACTGTCAGGTTTTCTTACAAAACCGACATGAATAATAATGAATAATCAATATGAGACATGTGCCACAAGCGTTGATCAGAGCCTACGAAGAACCAAGAAACAAGCTTTCCCAGAGTGATCATTTGTAACCGGCATCCTCATCGATTTCAGTAAAGGGCCGAGGGTACTATACTATATTTGAGTTGTCAAATGTCCCACTGCAGAGACGTGCTCAGAACAGACACCGCCGGAGGAATCCGCACACCCTCCATTCCCGCCATTGGAGCCAGAGAGACAATGATGACTGCTTGACCACGACAAGCAAGTTGTTATCGGCCGGTGGCTTGTGTTTCATTACTTGCAAACCTGTGTGCTTGAAACGGCGCGTGTTCTTAGGGGTCCCTCCTTAGAGCATCTCCAGCAGAGCCGGGGTGGATTTCCGGCCAAACAGCGGCCTGGGACCACATTTCACAGCCCTGTCACACTGCTCCCACAGCAGACTGGCAATAGGTAGCAGGGGGCGGTTGGCCAAGACGGCAAGCTTGGTAGACAACCAGCCATCTCGGCCATCCTCGATGAATCCAATGGATCGACTCACGACTTCAAGGAGACCAACAACTTTGCTCAGAATCTTGTTTTCTCTACCTGTTTTTTTTGTGCTCATTTTTCATCAAATCAGTTTTTTTTTTCTATCTGTGTATTTACCTTTAAGAGAAACACCGATGAATCTTAATCCAAAAGAAAAACAAATGTGAATGTTTTTTCCAAAAGAAAAACAAGTGCGAATGTTATTGTAATCGGAAAAGATGAAAGTTATTGACAAAACAAAGATAACCATCAGAAAATAAAAGAGAACGATCACAAAATGAAAGAGAATGATCGAAATGAAAGAGAATGATTGGAAAAGGAAAGAGATCAATTGGAAAAGGAAAGAGAACCATCGGAAAATGAAAGAGATTGATCGGAAAAGGAAAGAGAACAATCGGATCGGTATCAAATGCAAACAAGTAATGATCGATTAAGAAAGAAAAAAAATTGAATTACAACAAGTTGTTTTTTCTCGTTCTTTCGATTCACTTCTTCTATCGGGCTTGCGCAAGGTTGTTTGGATGGTACTTGGAGAGAATTTACTGGAAGGGTCGATGATTCTTGTGCAGGAGGCGTAGCTTGTTGTTGAAGTAACGGGTCGAGCATTGTGGTGTTGGTGGTGTTGGTGTGTGACTTGAGGAAAACAGCGAATAGGTGAGTGGCCGGTCTCTTCCAAGGCGGCTATTGCCTTGGACTTCTAGCCGGGGGCGAGGTGAGGGGCGATTGATTGAGGGTCTAGTTGCGGCTCTGCTGGACCCCGAAATTCTCGCTCGAGCCGCTGATTTGGGCTGAAAATTGCCCAGTCGCGGCTCTGCTGGAGATGCTCTTATGGCGCGGGAAGCAAGATGTTGTTGTAACCCAGAAGGGGTTACGAGCCCTGAGACTCGCCGCAGTCCATATATATACACCACAGGTTGAGTTTTGGAAATGGCACTCCGTCGGCTTGACCCCGCGGTCAAGCACTGGCACCCCTGTCGATTGACAACTGGCTATTCAATAGCCCTCGTACACTGAGTACGAAGGCTATACAAGGTCATCTGAGATGACCCTCGCCGTCCCTCGCCCCGCCGGCTGAGGTTTACATAATCAGCTCGTCCGAACTCGCAAGCAAAGCTCCTTCGGCTTCCATCGCTGCGCAACCGCAGGGCATCACAGCATTGCACAGCTGCTGTCATCGGCATCATCAGTCCCAAATCCCACCCGTGCACCCTTGTACCTCAAAAGATGTTGGACAACCGATCCAGCTCTAGGTTCTCATTCCGATTGGACACTCGGATACCGGAGAAGGAGGCGTTGAACATGAAGTTCTTTTAGATGGCGGTGATGGTGAAGATGACAAAGAGCTTCGGGTGCAGGCTGTTTTCTAATGATCAGGTAAGCGTAAACTTGTGTCAATCGTTGGCTAGTTTTTTGATTCTTCCCACTTGCTGATGACCTCACTTCTGACTCTGATTGGATCTGCTTTGTATAGGGAACCTCACCCGTTTCGCCAATTGTGTCACTGTCCTAGAGCTCGCTCCCTTGTCAATTCAGTAAAGAAAATTATACAAGGCTACATCCTTGGATTGAATACTTGTTCATTGTTACCCTTGAGAGCTGCCACTGAGCTGATTTTTCTTACTTGTCAAGCTTCTTCCTCAATCCAAATCTAAGTACAAGCCTGAGGTTTTTGGGTGTATCAGGTCTATCTCCTTATAATTGTGTGGCTGATTTGGAATCCTCTTGGATGTACCACCTTTAGGAATTATTCACAACCCTGTGTATGGATCAATTAGCAAGCCAGTGATTCAAATGTTCCCATTGAGCATGGAATTGCACTTATTCCACTTTTTTCCAATGACTTGAGTGTCAAATTAATAGTAAGATAAATACTGATAACTGATAGAGATTGAGTTCAGAGTTCCTATGTAATCATGTTACAAAGCCAAATTTTCAAAGGCAAGACATTGAATTCTGGCAAACATCTAGTTATCTGTTCAAAAAAAAACAGCTTATGCTGCACTGTCCAAATGGGGCCTTGGTTTTGATACAGGCAAGATGATTATTTAATGTGGGGTAGCCCAGGTCTTTTTACATGATTTACAATACTTACACAAACCCAGAGTTTTTGTTCTATATATTTTATAATAATCCAACTGCTTGATGTATAACAAATCTTTCACTTAGTAAGTAATAGACATGATTGGTCAATTTGAAGCAATTTGAAACACATTACATAACTAGATGATTTCAAAAATGAACAATGTGTTCTTCATTAGCATCAAATTTCTTTTTAACAATGTTCTTCAAATTCCTTTGTAGGAATGTTCACTTTCAATCTTGATCAAGATTGAATGTTGCTGGTCAAGATTAAGTGTTGATTGAATGTGACCAAATTTAAAATTTCTTTTTATCAGTATTCTACTTGCAATCTTGATCACAATCTAATTTTTTGAACTTTCAATTTTTTTTTATAAATATCCAACTTCACCCATGGACTAAGACATCAAATTATAACAACTCAAAGCAAGTTGACTTGCAAAAGAAATCAAATCTCATGATGTCCAAACTGATCACCCAAAGAAATCAGAAACTTGTTCTCTCTTTGTTGGTCTTTTGGTTAGCATTCAACTTGCATCTTCATTAGTGTGAATTTCTTTCACCTGTTTCCAACTTGAATCTTCACTAACATTAAATCTCCTTTAGCAGTTTTCAACTTTCAATGATGATTAAGATAAAATGTTTGCACTTTTGTCCCCTTGTGCTCATTCAGTGAACTTATCACATTATTGAAATGCTTTTCATATGCTTGTATCTGGTCAACCTTCCTTAGCCTGACATAAAAAGTTGTACCTACCAAATTCTATTATTCCCCATAATTTCAGAAGGGACAAAAAATAAACCTCATTTTATTTAAAAACTCCTCTTGGACTTGAAATATATCAATATTTTATTGTTTAAATTCAAATCCTCCTCTCAAATCAACATATTGCTGTCTGGAATCAGTATTATTCTTAACTTCTCAAAAATATATCAATGGCTGGGTGAGGACACCTTGGACTAGAGGAAATACCTTCTATGGGTTGGAACCACTGGTCCATACCAGTAAACTTCCACTGAGCTGATTCTAGCCTCTGCAGAGTAGCTCACATCTGAAAGAAGTGGATATCCACATCATCAACCTGAATCTCCTTTTGAATCTCATTTAATCATTGCTTTTATTTCCATCACAAAGAACAACCAGAAGCTTCCAAGAGAAGAAGACATTAACAGCAAAGTTCAGAGATACTTTTGAGTTTTAACCTGAGTCTGTTGAATTCACTGATCAACTCACTTTCCTCAATTTAATTTGTCAGCCCAGTAATTCCATCAGGTATCAACACCAGGAAGAGAATCACATCTCAGGGGGAGAAAGTAGATGTACATACATATTGGGCTCTTAGAATGGCCCTTGGTCTTTTTTCTATTTCTGGCTCTTGCTAATATTTCTCTAGCTCAAGTTACACCATTATTCATTGTTTACTATGTGCAATAGATTCTGTCTGGTCCAGTCTTTCACTTCAGCAGGTAAAATCTCATCATTATTTCTATTCCTTTTACTGTCTTTTGTTGAGTTTTTTTGCTTTGTAATTATTGTTACTACTACTGATGTTTAAAGATTTATTGCAATGATCTTGATCTCATTCGACCTTACTAAGTTGAAAATTAGATGATACTTCAACTATCTGGGTAAGTGGTTACCTATCTGGGGTGTTTGTCAAGGATCAATTTTTTTCTTCATTGTCATGGAGTGTACCAGACAATCACACTCTCTCCATGAGATTGACCTTTCTGAACAGCCATTGTTGCAAGTACACTCTCCAGAATGGCCATTCAGAACAGCGGTTGAAGAATATTGTACCCTTGGCCCCAGCGCTGCCATTCGGAACAGCCATTGAGGAGCGGAGGAGCGTAGCGTTGGCCTCACTGATGTTGTTCAGAGCGGTCGTTGAGGAGTGTCCCCTCGGCCTCAGCGATGCGGATCAGAACGGTCATCGAAGAGACTGCTCTCTCAACGATGGCCGTTTAGAACGGCCATCAAGCACAAGAGGGCTTGGGGCAGGTATGTACCCTGTATGCCGGAGCGGTACCCGGTTACCGGCAAATCTCTGCAATGCTGGGATGCCCAGCGGTTGCGCAGCGATGGAAGCCGAAGGAGCTTTGCTTGCGAGTTCGGACGAGCTGATTATGTAAACCTCAGCCGGCGGGGCGAGGGACGGCGAGGGTCATCTCAGATGACCTTGTATAGCCTTCGTACTCAGTGTACGAGGGCTATTGAATAGCCAGATGTCAGTCGACAGGGGTGAGCACTGGTCGGGCTCAACCCCTTTTACGAAATCCCGCCGGATTGGTCTGGCCAACGTCAATTTTGGGTAGGAAAGCTGTAATTCCAACGTTGGCTTGACCTCAGGGTCAAAAAGTCCCACCGTCGGCTTGACCCCATGTCTGAAAATGAAGAAAAAAAACTTTTTTTTTGACATTTTTTCTACACCCTTTTCATGCCCGAAAAATTGTGGCCACCTCAAGAAGAAGAAAAAAAAAAAACTTGGAGAAAAAAAAAAAAAAAACTTGGAGAAAAAAAACTTGAAGACAAAAATTCTATATGCAATTTGAAATTTTCTATCTATTTATATGCAAAACCAAGGCTGATCAGTATGATATGATTGGCATAGTTGGATAAGCTCTTCAGTTATCAGCATGCAACCATGCAGTGAGCTCAAGGTGCTGTGAGCCTAGGTTGGGTGTTCAAGCCCCAAGCTGATTTTTTTTGTTGTGCAGCGCGCTGCTGCGCAGCCACTGTCATGATGAAAAAATGCCGTCAAGCCGCCGCAAGCTTGCCAGGCAACCGCGGGCAAGCCAACGTTGCAGGGTCAAGCCGACCGCGGGGATTTACGCCCCCCGCTATGAAGCACCCCCAATTTTTCGTCGGGGCGGTACGGGTCAAGCCAACGGAATTCGTTCCGTCAAGCATCCGTCAACCAGAGCCCGTGGTGTATCTACCTCGGGTGCAGACCCAAGGTAGGAAGCATGGAATCTATGATCTATCTCACTCATCCTCTCCGATATTCCGTCTGAGGTGCGAACAGGTTATGAGCCTTTGACGCTTATAATACTTTACCTTATATATCATTTCTACTAATCATAGGACTCGGATATCACCTAATCGTGCTATCGTGATATATAATCACTCTCTGACCCTCTGAACTCTCTCCCAACGTGGATTTTCCTAATCGAACATCTTTCTCTGTCCTGATTATCCTAATCGATCGTCAATCTCCCGACACCACCCTAATTTTGTCAAAAATCTTTTTCTCTGCCATCATTCTCTATCTTGATTATCCTAATCGATCGTCAATCTCCCGACATCACCCTAATCTTATCAATTTTTTTTTGCTGTCATTTACCTTTTCATATCTTGTACCGATAGAGGTTGCGGACTACTGAAGGGCTACTCGGACTAGCCATCTGGGGAAGTTGAGGTTATTGGCATAACCTCAACGCCGTACAGTGGGAAACCAACTGACATCGTTTTTTTTATTTTTTAATTTGTTTTTCTCTCTCTCCTCTTGTGCCCTATCGTTCTATCGATTTTTTTCCTCTCTCTTCTTCTCTAATATCCGATATCCACCAACTCTTTTTTTTCTAACTTTCTTCTAACTTTCTCACAGTTTCTATCTCTTTTCCATCTTTTCTCTCTCTGTCTTACCATCCCTCTCTCCATCGTAATCCCTTCCGACTTCTCAACTTTCACACATCTCTACTTCCTTCGCTCCCTTTTTTCTTCTCTTTCCCTCCCCTCCCTACTCTTCCCCTTCCCTCCTGTTTTTCACCGCTCCCTTCCCGTTTTCCTGCTATCTTTTCCCCGTACCTTGTCCCCTCGACCCTCCCTGTTACTTTCGCGCCACACATGGCCTACGATCATCGCCGTCCCAGTCTTACTGGCTCCACTCACTCGCGCGATTCAATAAGCGAGCTGGGTGACTATCAACCGGATGGTGAAAGGAGGATGACAAACCTATTCGACTCCGTCACGTCAGGAAACGTTGGTCAGCACGCAGGCGACAAGACTATCAAAGCCGCTGGTCCTTCTCTGCCCTCCGTATCCACCCAGAAAGGCAAAGAACGTGCGGCAACGGAACCCCTTGGATCGACAAGCCAGCAGCATCCACAACACCATCCTCCCCCTTCTAAACCACACCACCCTCCCCCCTCTCTTCCGACCCATGTTCCCAAGAACCCGCCACCCCACATGCCAGCAGTCCCACCAGTCAACGAGACTGCCGACGAAAGAGATTTTCGATTGGCCGAATTCCGATTGAAACAAAACAAAATAGTTTCCTCGACAGTTGCATCCATCATCACAGCTTTCAAGAAGGAATGTGTTCTGCAACCGGATGGTTCGAACTTCAGTCAATGGATGCGAGGCTTGAAAGAAGTCTCTCGTACAAGCCTGTCGGGGGCAAATTTTTTCTTCGAACCATGTGACAACAGGACTTTTGAAAGGATCAGAAGAGCGGTAATGATATCGAGCGTCCACAATTCTCTCGTCCCTGATCTTCATCCAATCGATACCGCTTACAACATGTATGTTTCACTCAAGAAAAAATTCAAGACAGTCTCCCGGGCGGCGCAAATGAATATCTGGCGCCGTTTCATGGCTTTCAAAGTGGATCCCTCGACACCGAGCGCAGGCGTTGCGGCCACTCTCCTCGATCTGTACTCAGAATGGCGCTCTGTCAACATCAGCTGCAGGAGCGACTCGTTCTTAGGTTTCATTCTGCAGGCGGCGGTGGTCCACTCCGGTGCCCCTTTCAGAGCTGAGTTCGAAAACAGGATCGAGGACTTGGTGCAGCGCGATGAGAACGGTACTTGCCCTAGTTTCGCCTCCATTTGCAACACTTACGACATCAGCCGCCAACAACATCTTCAAGCCTCTGATCAACTGCAAGAACCCGCTAACCCGCCCCAAACGCCAAACATTTTTCACACCTCAGTCCATTCTCAAGAAGATTTCGACGCCTCAATCTTCCTCACCGACGTCACTGAAGAGGACTGGTGCGACGCTTTGGATTTCTTCGCACTCACCGCTGCAAAGTGCTGGGGCTGTGGAGGTGAAAACCATTACCAGCGAGATTGTCCACACAAGGGGCGAACTCCACTGGCGAGCCAATCCCGTGGGCAGGCTGTTGGTACTTTGGTTGGGACCATCTACGGACAACTGCCGAGCGGTTTCCAAGTGACTTCAGCCAGATTTCCGAACTACTCGGCGCGAAAGTCCCTTGCCCCCCCCCTCGAGTGGTCAACATTGAGCTCGACAAATAGCGGACTACTATCGACCTCGGTACAACCAATCTCATCAACACACCCAGATCAATCAACGTACCGACAACTCAGTCACTCCAAAGCCGGGGGGGGGGGTTATGGCGCAAGTCGTGGAAATCGGCGCTCTGCCAGATGATCTGGACGATCTGGACTTTCGCACCATGTCGTTGGGCAAAGATATTGTGAGTGATCCAGCAGTTTTTGATACAGGAGCCTCCCATGGTTTCACAGGCTCTAAATCACTCCTCCACTCTTTTCGTCTTCTTGCGAAACCTATTCCCGTATTGGTAGCTACCTGCGGTGGAGGGGCCAAAATCACCGGCATCGGGGACCTAAAGTTCCGAGGCCCAAATGGCCAAGTGATTGTGCTGAAGCATGTTCTTTATTGTGAGCAAGCACGGACCACTCTCATATCCATGGCAGCACTGCGGAAAGCTAATGCCACCGTCCATTATGACAACCTTGCAGAAGCCTTTAAGGTCTATCATCCGAATGGCTCCCATCTGTTCAGTTGCGTTTTTGAACCGAAAAAGAATAGATGGTGTATGCCTTATCCCATGATCAAAGTTGGGACGACTGCATCTCCTTCATCAACTACCACCCCATCTTTCAACGGCGACTCTGCTCCTTTTCACCACATATCTTCTTCCACTCTCACTCCATCTGTTTCTCTGGTCTCTACTCCTATGAATGATTCCTCTTTTTCATCGACCAAGTCTCTTTCAAATTCGATTGTCTTTCCTCCCTGTTATCAAAGTCTACCAGCTGATTCCGATGCAAGTAACTCAGTTTCTATATTTGCTTCAAAAGCCGTCCCGAGCTGTGAAATATTCAAAGAGCCGGTCGGAAAGACCGTTGATTTCCATTGGAAACCTGAGATGCTAACTAAAGATGAGATCTCTTTGCTATTCTGGCATCGTGTATTTGGGCACGCGAGTTTAAGACATATCCGTCGACTCATCAAACTCCAATTGGGACATGGCCTCCCTGTAGAACTACCAGCAGGAAAAATCCACTGCCCTGTCTGTGCAATCAGCAAAAGCACAAGGATAAATCCTCTGGCTCCGTCTTACAGACCAGTCGAAAGGATGGACGTGATGGCTGCTGATCTGATCGGTCCTTTTGAGGTGGAATCAGTGGACGGCGGAAAATATCTCCTCACGTTGCGCGATGAGGCGACGGGATATTCTTTTGCTAAACTACTGACTGCTAAATCTGATGCAAACAAGCACCTCATTGATGTGATTACCCATTTAGAGAATGTTACTGGCAGGAAAGTCAAGACACTCCGGAGCGACAATGGAGGCGAGTTTACCAACAAAGTCTTGGAAGAGTTCCTAACGAAGAGGGGCATTAGGGCCGAGAAGTCGCTGCCCTACCATCACTACCAAAACGGTATGATCGAACGTTACAACAGGACGATCCAAGACATGGGAAGGACCATTTTGATTGACAGCGCCCTGCCGAAAACGTTCTGGTCATATGCGTTCTTGTGGGCTAACCACGTGCTCAACCGGATCCAAAACAAGGCCAGCGGAAATGTAACGCCGTATGAAGGGATGTTTCACATCAAGCCTAGGTATGATAGTTTCCGTGTTTTCGGTCAGATTGGATATATCCACATCCCATGTGAAAAGAGGCTACGTTTGGAGCCAAGAGCAATCAAAGCCCACGTTATTGGACACCTAGAGGAGAGCAAAGGTTGGCTCTTCTGGATACCGGAAGACAACACCTTTGCGGTTTCGGCAATGGTGAGATTCCCCAACGACCTCCCATTGGACAAACCAACACAACCGATCATCGCTCAAGCACCACCATGTAGCCTGCAAGATCAGCCGAAACAAAATCCTAAACTGTCACTAGATTTTATTATGAAACTCATGCACCTCGGGGATTTTTCTAATGAGATAGAGTTCACTAACCAAGAGCTGATTGTTGACAAAATCATAGAGATGTGTGCTTTCTACTCAATTTCTGTTCCGAAAACATTCAAGCAGGCGATGAAGTCAGAAGAAAAGGATGCATGGTCAAAAGCCATCGCGGTGGAACTGTCGAACCTCGAGCGAATGAGGGTATGGGACCTGCTGCTTAAACCATCGGATAAGATGGAACTAGGGGGCAGATAGGACCCTGGAAACCCCCCAAATATGTGGGTAATGTAGACCCAGATGAACAAAAAGCCAACTTGACCTTCAACCATACATCAAATTGGGATGGTTTTCACATCAGGACATGTACAAGGAAAAGGTGCATCTTGTACATGTCTTCATTAGTTGTGAACCTGCACCATTGACCCTTGAGAAGCCAAAAATCACAAACACTGGCGCTCCGTTAGCCTTCTCCCTGAAAACCTATTTTTTTTTTTGTTGCCCCTATGAAGACACAT